TGTTATCGATGGAGCATTGTTTCAAGAACTATTATTTTGATAGACCTATACGGATTTGGGATCATGGACAGTACTTGACCCCCTTGTGTAGTAGAAACGAAATTTTAGGATGCTACAACTTACCCCCTAAGCGGTAAGAGGAAAATTTGATCTACTCATCGGCTTACCAAGCGTAAATTTGGCTATCTATACATGGTAAGTATAACTGGATAGAATAATAATAATATTTTGACAAGTTTAATGTCAACACCTTTCAAATATATGATGTGTTGTACGTGTATTCTAGCAAAAGAAACATTTTTATATGGAATTTGAAAGCAATTAATAAATAATAAGTAGGATTTGTCAAGTGCCACCAAACCAAATAACTCAATGTATGTCACACTTGTAACGGATGGCTTGTCTCGAGGCTCAAATTTAAATTGTGTAATATGTTCAAATCCAATCTCCTAGACATGATGCGACTCTACCATAGTGAGCTTCTACCAGGAGGATATAATAGTGATACTTGAAGCACAGATTTCCCATCATATCTGGAAATGTAGCATTTTGAGCATTTTTCGTCTCTTATACCTTAGCAATGTGCTCTTCATTTAGTGTGGCCTTCGTGTACCTCGTGGAAAGAGAGGAGGACGATAAGTTCATGAGTTATTATATCTTCTTCACCAGAAGCTTACATGGTTTGCATACATGGTAACAACTACGAGTTATTCAACTAGTTTGTATATGGTGCCGGCCCCATGTCTACTAGAGGCCATTTGGATTTTCCCCGTCGTAGCTTTACAATCCGTTTTTAATTACTAGTAGATCAGTTGTTGCACCCATTGCGCACATGCCAAATGCAATCGAGAAGTTAGATAAACTATATGAAAAAATATGAATTGTTCGTAAAGTATTATCTTAATTTATGACATGACAACCTACAATATGAACTTATAATGTCAACTGCCATGGCAATATATATGATACATTTGCTCTTAAAATCACTTGTGTTTGAGGTGTTCGAAACCATTTTTTGAAGGTGCTCAAACAACCCATGAAAGCGTCACCGAATATTCCTAAGAGTGCTCAGAGTAGTTTTGAAAGTTGTCATCGCTAATTTTGAGAGTGACTGATCTACTATCAATAATAGTTTTGAATAATTGTGGAAGCACTCGGATTATTTCCACAAGCAATGATAAATTATGTAGGCACAACCTTTCACATATGTTTTACGTAAACCACACATATTTTTACATAAACATCACACATTCCCCCTGACTATATACATGAGCCAATATAAATAGGAACCGTGTGGTTCTCTGCAGTTGGAAAATACTATACGAACAACATGTTGACCTAATTTAAATATTGGATGAATATAACTCTTAAAACTAAACCGACATTCCAATTCAGCATAGACATCTAAGAAGAAGCAACCTACCACCTGTAGTTTCCTTTCCGGCATTTGTAACCGCCTGATGATCCCTCGTCTGCCTTGTTTCGGGGTAGGAGCCTTTCCCTCAAGGATGGTAGGATAAATACTCCGTAGTTTAGTCCTGGATGGTGATGCAACCCATCCTTTATGGTTAAAATCGCCGGATAAATCTCATAGCTCACGAAGGCATCCTTCCCTACATAGGTTAGGTGTAATGGAGTAGTAAACAACTTCCACTGCTAGTAGTCGTGGTATGGTTTCGGGAATGTCGTTTTCAAGTCCTTCTACGAGAGGTCTATGATGGCCACTGTGAGGTCCCCTCACCACCACCGTTGATCTGAAACTATGGATATCGATGTGGTACTCATCTGGAATGATGATACTCCTAGAAAAGAGCTTTCTTCCCTCTCTAATGTCCACACTATCGGAAGTTATCTCCCAGCGTTTTAGAAATCGTCAAGTGCTTGACACCACTTCTTTGCCCTACAGAAGTGGTACAGGAGGACGTGCGCATATCGATAGTTGCAGGACTACGACCCCTTGTGGCTGAAAAGGCACGCGAAAATGCAGGCACCGATGCGGTCGGTAGAGGCGATCCTCCGTGACAGTAGGTAACATAGTCATCACACACCATTTCTCTTTGGTGTGTGCGATTGGAAAGCAGCGATTTGGAGCCTGGGCTCATCTACACCTGCCCACGAACAGTAAATTTGAAACAGTTCAAAAAGAAATATGTCATTTTTAGGCATCCAACATACTCAGGTGTGCTTGATGCATGCAAATTTTCATGGTTAAATGACATCCGAGGAACTCATGAAAAAAAAGTTGACTATCAAATAAACTTTGAAAAACAGCATTGTGTAAACCAGGTTTTTCTTCACAAGCTCCTCAGATGTCTTCTAACCTCAAAATTTAGTATGCTCCTAACACACTTGAGCATCTTGGATGCATAAAGATTTCTCTTTTTTCAAGTTTTTTTACTATTATTATGGCATTTACTGTTCACTAAAAGTAGATGAGGTTGGGCTCATCCCTGGATTACCAGTGCGAGTGATTGGGGCTATAGTACGTATATGTCTAGTCCCTGTTAGCGGAGTATGTGGTCGTATGGTACGTCGTCATTTGGTTTGGTTTCGTACGTTTGTTGGTTTTCACATTAATTGTAAAGAGTATCCTTCTTGGATGGGAGGATCACGTTAATTAATTATAGAGAAATTTTTTTGGACCGGTGGATAACGTTAATTCTGAAGAGTATCATTATTTAGACCGGAGGATCACGTTACTTGTATCATTCTTTTGATAAGAGGATCAGATTAATTAGGGAAATTATCATCGAGCGTTGGACGGGACAATCACTAAAATACGTATGTTCCTATTGCAACGCACATGTAATTAGCTAGTTTGAGCTAAAGGTCCAAATTCGCAGACCAGTGGTCACATTCTATGAGCATCCAGTGCACTAAGACATTGAGCTATTTTGTTCCCATCAAGAATGTCTTGGCAAGGACAAATCATGATGTTCACGTTGTGGATGCTGCACTGCAACACGGTGTACAAAGACTCATCGTGCCAGTCAAGGAACGGCCCACAGAACAATGATTCAAGCTGACACGGGAATGCACTTTCGGTGACGAGCACGTCGACCAAGGCCTGGCGCGAGGACTTCGTACCGAAGGTGTTTGTATGGTGGATGCTCCTTGTCTAACGCGACAGATGGAGCAGCAGACAGCATGAATTAATCGAGGCGGTACGAATTTGCAGGCAGAATTCCACAACTCCACAGCGTTGTACGAATTTGTAGTTTTTTCCCGCACAGAAAAGTAAGGTGTTGCTGATTGATACGTACAACTTTTTATTGTAGAAGTGAAGATTACGAGTCCAGCTCATTAAAGTGATGCGGATCACGAGTGTTTGAGCAGATAATTTATTTACTGTCAGATCCGGTGATTCGGCGGCGCGGTGCGGCGGGATCCTGGCGGCTGATGTGGCGGCGGTGATAGCGGCAGCGCAGCCTCCCGCGGCGGAGGCGCCCCTGTGGCAGTGGCTAGATGGGCATAGGCGGGTCGACGGATCTGGTGCGCGGCGGCAGGCTGGCGCAGTGGGCCTGACGTAACCGGCTGCTCTGGCACCGTGGTGGTGCCATGGCCGGTCAGGCGGCGGTGGCTGGGTCCTTTTGATCTGGTCCCCGGCATAGAAGGTGGCGATCCGTGCACAAAAAGCTGGATGGAGTACTTCGAACAGATCTGGGTAAAAACCTGCTCTTGGGTAGATGCCAAGACCGGCGATGGCGGCGTTCTTCGGTGCCGTTCCCTTCTTAGAGGCATCGCCATGGAGAAGTTCTAGGCCAACATCTGCTACCTCCGGGGGAAACCCTAGATCAGTAGATCGGAAGACGGCGGCGCTCTTGTGTCGTTTCCCCCTGGGGGCGTCGTTCTTGGAGGTGTGCACGGGCTCGAGGGACGAGTGGACCGCAACTTTGGTGGAACGGTGCTTCATCCTACACATTGATGGTGACGGATCTCGACGGCGTGGCGCGGTGCAGATTCGGCGTCCGATGTGCGTGGATGGACTCGCGCAGGAGGACGACGCTGTTTGGCGTCGTGGTGGCGTCGATGGTAGAGAGGTCTGACATGGTCGATGCGTCAGTTTCTGCTCTGAAGATGGACCGATGGAACATGGTGGTGTCGGGCCTTGCAGGGTGCGGATGTGGTGCCCGCTGTGAGTGCGTCGGACCGGTGTATGACCCAGTCCCGGTATGTGGCTAGGCTGGGGCATCCGGTGTTAGATGTTACGCTTTGGTGCGATGTCTGTTTGGTATTAGGCTCGGACATTCGGCACCCCTTCATCAAAGGGATAAGTGTAGCAACAGGTGTTGCTTGGATGGTGGCTTCAGGCGTCTGATGTATTACTTTGTAAGGTCTTTGTGAATAATTGATAAAATGGCATCCTAGAACAGCATCTATGAGATCAGCTATCCTTGTGGCGTGCGGACAATTTCAACTGAAAACATATCAAACCCTTATGTTTGACAACCAATTTGGTTGCTTAAGGTCAGCATTTTCTCTGCTAACCATCTAAGCAGAGAGGGTTATGATACTGTTAATTACTGTAATGTCTTTCTATTGACTCATCATGAGAGCCGAATGTGCAAATCTATAAGAGCTTTGTAGCGGTTGGAGTTGATCCATCTTTAATGGGTGTTGGTCCTGCTGCTGCAGTCTATAACATTTTGGAGTCTGAAGGAACACACACACTTGCATAGACAAATTTGTGGTGTTTGATTCTCCTGACCTTTTAGATAACTCCAGGTTAGAGTAGGTCAAGGGAAAACACAAATAAAGAAGAATCTATCGGAACACAGCGACCTCCTTACATTCTTTCCTTTAGCTAAGCACACGATTACAACAAGTTTATAACATTACACTGAGTGTTAACACTAAGTTTATTTGAAAAAAAAGGATGAAGAAAAGTAGCTGCCATGGAAGCAAAGAAACCAAATGCAGAAGGGAAATGAATGCAAATGAGAATCTCCAAACTGTGATGTTTAAAACAAATGCACTGATGAGCTCAGGCTTAAGAAGAACTACCGAGGATACCTTGAAGATGAAGCGAACTCCTCTTCCATACTATACTGCCTGGACAATACCTCGCTCCTACCTCCATCTGCAGTCCATGGACAATTTCTTACATTATCCCCCTCATGTCCCCTGGATGCTTGAGTGCCTTCGAGTTTGATCTCCACTTTCTTCATGGACGGACGATCCTCTCCTCTTAATGTTATACACATTACTGCAATTGCTGCCACTTCTTCCATTTCGCTGCCTCCCTCTTCCATAACTTGCGGATCTAGAATTGCTGGCAAATTGCCTTGTGTGAATAAGGTAGAAAAATGTGAAACAAGGCCTTCATCTTCAGAAGAGATGTATGAAAATGGTTTCTTTCTAGTCAACAACTCCAGAAGCAGGACACCGAAGCTGTACACATCACTTTTTTCCGTCAGACGCCCGGTATAGAAATACATGGGGTCCAGATATCCTCTTGTACCTTGCACTCTTGTTGTGATCCCTGATCTATCCACCGGAACATATCTTGAAGCTCCAAAGTCTGCGACTTTTGCTGTTAGAGTATCATCCAAAAGTATGTTAATAGACTTGATATCTCTATGAATGATGGGTACTGAAGCTGTTGAGTGAAGATGAGCTAAAGATCTAGCAGTCTCAGTTCTATCCGTAGCCTATCATTCCATGACAATGATCTTGGTCCATCAACATGAAGATGATCATAAAGGGTACCATTGGATATAAACTCGTAGACCAATATGGGGACCTCTGTTTCAAGGCAACAACCATAGAGTTTTACAACGTTTCTATGGTTGATCTGTGATAGGATAGCAACCTCATTAATGAATTCATCAATCTCCTTTTGAATCGCTGCCTTTGGTTTCTTGATGGCTACAACATGGAGATCGGATAGGATCCCTTTGTAGACTGTACCATGCCCCCCACCACCAAGCTCACGAGCTTTATCAAATTTATTTGTTGCCTTCTCAAGCTCGTCTAAGCTTATAATCATTCTTTCTGCAATATCAGCTCTTTGTGATACCAATTGTTGCAACAACTGTCCTCGATTTTTTTCAAAGAACTTCTGTCTCAACATCTGCGCTTTCCGATGTTTGAATTTCTTATGAATGAAGGATCCAGCAAGAACAAATAGTATGATGCCTGCCCCAACAGCAACTCCTATGCCGAGGTATATACCTACAAAGATGTACACGGTATTATTCATTTCGTCTATCATGGGAGCATACTATTGTACGCTTGCTCTAGATTTACTCAGCAGCAGGAGTAATCAACAAAGTTCACTGAAGTAGGCTTTTGGCTTCATTAGTTCATATTACAAGAAGAAAATTGGTTTCAAATAGTTCAAGGGCATACATAATTTTAAATGTAAGAGTTCAAGTTGGACAAAGAAACATACATCAAGTTCTCTTCTTAATTACGAGTAACAAGCAAGAATTTTTATGTGGAGAAGTAAATTAACTCGATTAGTAAGTAGAATGCCAATACGTATTGCTTGAAACAAATACCAAGTGAAATACAATCCTTGTCTTGATGTGAAATTAAACAGAAGGAGGAGGGTGGAGGGATCCTCATAAAGTTGCAGCGTTGCTCACCTATTGATAAGGGCCTGCGGCCACCTGGAGGCAAAAACTACATATGTTAGAGGGACAAGAAAATTAATAGCGTAAACACATTCTATGTTAGAATAGTAGATAGATATTCTAACCTTTGCATCCATCGGCGAGGTAGGGGTTGCTGCCGGGTTTGTCGTAGCCATCCATGCACTGGCATAAATAGCCTCTGATCCCTCGTTTGCAATCGTTGTTCTTGCTCTTGCAGAGCTTGCCCGCGACCTCCGATGGACAGCCTGGATGCACCTTCATGTCCGCTGATCGGGGTAAGCCCTCGATGACCTCCCACTGCAGAACTAGGGGAACCTGCACCTTGGGTATTTCGGATTTCTCCTGCCCTGCTATCTCCTTGGACAGCTGTTGCTGATCGAACCACCCCTCCTCTGCGATTAGCACGTATGCGGGCTGCGACGTCAACTCCTGGTCATCGTTCTTGTTGAGCTCTTTAAGTTTGAACGATGTGGGAATGTCGTTGGAAGACATGGGGATATTCGCCTGACAGCAGCCCATCCCATTGCAGTATCTTCCTCTACGCCGCAGTGCCATCTCGACATCGGTGTCACTTACATTGGAGGGGCAGAAGGAGGCACAACCACTGATGAAATCCTCAAGGCCACCGCCAGTCAGCGTTGCCTGAAGGTTGCAGCCCCACAGGATGAACTCGTTGCCGGTCGATAGTGAGTAGGGCGTCCCCGAGAAATTGCGCAAAATAAAAGTAGTTGAGTGGCTGGGGTCAATATGCATGATGAAGTAGGAGCTGAGGCGCACCGTGTTGTTCTGGAGGGAGATCTCCGTGACGTGGATGGGGTACTCAAGGAGGACGAGGAGTAGCTTTGCTGGTCGTTGGCTCGTATCACAAGTGAGGTCGAACCCTGGCCAGTAGCAACCGGCAGAGCCAATTCCGAAGGGGTACGGCACGTTTATGTCACCGCAGGATGTGCTGCAGTTACCTATTTGATTGATAAAGTAGCAACGTCATTATCCATTTACTTCAACATAAAATGGGTCTGGGCTGACTCTTCTTCCTCCCCTTCAGATAGCACATGCTGGAAGTTGTAATCAGATATATACGGATTGATTTTTATTTCCTTGCTCATTGTACATGTGGGGAACTGGGGATAGCTTCTGTAGGCACACACAGGAGAATGCCAATCACTTGTTCATGGAGTGCTGTAATTAACATAATCTGGAGGGCTATCCTGAACTAGGCAAACCTTGAAGAGGCTATCCCAATTCCTAATAATAGTTTCAGGTTGTGGAGCCGTGGTGGTTTAACACATGTGAAAGGTTGTAGGGGAAAAGGAAGAAGTCGTTTAATTCGCTTGTAATATTGGCCGTCTAGTCGATATGGAAGGAAAGGAACAAGCCAGTCTTTGAAAACCTTCAGACTTGAATCCAGATGTTTGAGGACAGGATCAAGGAAGAAGCCAAGCGATTTGCCTTTGCGAACAGCGAAAGAAGGAATTTCCCCGTAGACACTGGAAAGTTTCTTCCTCGTTTCTTTCCTACCCTCATGTGTGTTTTCTTCCTAGGTCGTTTGGGTGTATGAGATTTTGCTCCCTGTTTTTGTAGTGCAACTTTTGTACTGGTCGTTTGGACCTCTGGTTTTTTCTCATCCATATATTTACATGCAGTTCTCTTGTATGGTTCGAAAAAAAATGTACATGTCACTCGCGTATATGGCCAGAGTGGTAGATCTCATGTTCTCGTATCAGTGATGCTGTTGCCTGTGGTTTATTTTCTTTCATTTTTGGTACTAGCCAAATGGAGCGTTATTGGAGAACGGGTGAAGTTCATTTCTTATATTTTAATGTCTTTCAACTTAATGATCCTAATTGTACTTAGAGCAGTTCCAAGAGTTCCCCTAAAAAACATCCAGTAAAATTTATGGGAAGTTTTCGGATAGTCATTTTTCTCAGTTCCCGTAAACATCATCCCATAAAATCCTTATTTTTCTATTATCAGTTTAAAAATTCTAGCAAAAAGCATAGGGCCCGCATATTAGTGACAGAGACGGGACGACGAGTGACGGCGGCACGTGGCGGCGGTACACGGGAGCGGCGGCAGCGGCAGCAGGTGCCGGCAGAGCGGCGGAGACGGTGGCCTCGCGTAGTCGTTGACGGCGGCACGTGGTGGCGGTGCATGGGAGCGGCGGCAGCAGCGGTAGGTGTCGGCAGAGCGGCGGAGGCGGTGGCCTCGCACAGTCGTCGACGGCAGCGCGTGGTGGCGGTGCACGGGAGCGGCGGCAGCGGCGACGACGTGTGGCAGTGGTGGCAGGTGGCGGCAGAGTGGCAGAGGTGGTGGCCTCGCGTAATCATCGACGGCGGCGCGTGGCGGTGGTGCACGGGAGCAGCGGCAGCGGTGACGACGTGTGGCAGTGGCGGCAGGTGGCCACAGAGCGGAGTAAGCGGTGGCCTCATGTAGTCATGACGGCGGCGTGTGGCGGCGATGCACGGCAGCGGCGACGACATGTGGCAGTGGCGGCGTGTTGCGGCAGAGCGGCGGAGGCGGTGGCCTCACGTAGTTGTCAGCAGCAGCCTCAGTGCACGGCGTTTCGGCGGTGGCGCGGGGTGGTCCGGCGTTCTGCTCGTGAAGTTTCAGGCGATTATCCACCCGCCAAAATTATATGGGAAGGCCATCTTCCTGTAAACTTGGAGGATTGATAAGGTGTTTCTAGGGGATCCGTTCCAGGCTTAAGAGCTGTTGGAGGCCTTCTTTTTCCCCAACTTCCCGTAAACGGTAGTTTTTTATGAGATATAGGAGCTGTTGGAGTTGCTGTTATGATGCAAAATTCGTGTATGGTTTATTGGATGAGTATTTTAAACATTGTTGCTGCTAATATTTTTTGGCAAAAGTTTTATCTGAAAAAGATTTTCGCTGATTTGCTGCAAAGGTCTCTATGCTCAATTGGTTTGGCTTAAGTGCTGAGCTACTGAATCATTTGCCCTCATTTTTAAGTTGGGGCAAAAATATTTCAATATTCATTTTCGGCCTTAGATGCGAATCTCCACCTTTGATGTTTTGGAGGGAAGTCTAAACTAATAGTTCTGCAACAAAATGATGTTTTTCATGAGTACGTTTGCGAAATTGGAGTGAAAAATACTAATCTCTAGATGATCTATTTTCTTGTTTAAGTCCGCCTATGGTTTCTTCCTCTTGCTAAGTAAATCCGTAAAGTCTCACTAGTGTGACCTTTTGTTTGTTTTGTGTATAATTCATTAGGTTAATGTCAATTTTAGTCCTGCATTTGTTCTCTAAGATGATGGCACTACATAACTAACTGTCAACTCAGTTGCTGTATGTGGTGTTGAACTTTTTTTGTACTTGTTGAGGAATGAATAGGATCTGTTCTTTCTTGTTCATCCCTTATTTGCCTTCATCTTGATAGTAAAAACAAATGAGATTGCCGCAATATTGCTTACCTGGGACGAAATTGATGAAGCAGCCATCGGGCATGGTAGGGTCGCCATGGGTTCCTAGCGGACACCGGCAGTCATGTGATCCATCCGAATTGGTACAATCACCATAGCACATTTTAGGGTACTGTTCATTGCACTCATCGATATCTACACATAGCCGAACCAACACATGCTAGCATTACACAAAGAGAAACCTCCAAAGTTTATTCCTCGTCTCAAATCAGGAAAAGAAGCAACTATTAACAAAGACCATACCTTTGCATCCATTGGCGATGTAGGGATTCCCTTGGTAGCCATCATTGCGTAAGCATATGTAGCCTCTCTTACCCTTTATGCAGTCACTGTGCTTGCTCTTGCAGACGTTGGAGCACTCTGCGCCATGGCCAACAACCTCCCAATCCAGCAACAGGGGAAGTTGTATTGCATCCGCTGACACAGGGGCATCTGTTCGAAATAGCTCCTCGAAGACCGGTGTATGGCTGAACCAATCATACCTCGCAATGAAGACGTATGCCGGCCACTGGTGGTCCGCGCTGCGGTTCCAGCCGAACCATTTGAGCTGCACGTCGTAGGACGTGCTGCTGGCAAGCCTTCCTTCTACGTCCGCAGGGTCGAAGATAATGTCCGACTGGCAGCAGCCACTGCCAGAGCATTGCATGCCTTCTTCGAGTGTGGATTGCACATCGGAGAGTCTATCACCGTTTTTGCAGAAAGAAGAACAGCTGCTCATGATCACATCACTGTTCTTGAGTGTCGCTTGAACATTGCAGCCCATCAGGATGAGCTTGTTGGATGAAATCGTGTAGGGCCCGTTGGTGGTAAGACCACCGCCGAGTGTGCCTTCACCATTTCCGTCGACTTTTATGTCGCCCGTGCGTATGACGGCCACAAATGTCGACCAGTTAGTGAGGGAGAATTCTTTGACTTGGAGGGTGCCGTCGCCGAGCAGCAACCGCGGCGGATTGCTTGAGCGGTTGCAGGTGAGGTTGAACCCCGGCCAATAGCACCGGGCTGGGCCCATGCCAAACGGGTACGGCAAGCTCATGTTGCCGCAGGTGATGTCGCAGTCGGGCATCCCTTGCGCCTCCGCCGGATAAACTTCTGCTCCAGCAAGGAGTGGTGACATCATCATCGCCGCCGCTGTGGCCTCCATCACCACTCCCAAGATCGTTGTTATGTGCGCCATTGAGTGGTTGAGCATATGTGCCTAGCTAGCTAGCTCCTGAACCATGCATCGCTCTTCAGCCGGGCCGGCTTATAAAGATGGCGCGCACTCTGGTTGCCCGGAGCAGCACCTGCTGCGTGGTAGGCCCAGCTATCAAGCAGTAAAAACGTAAATTCCGACAGGTGAGAACCAAGGGCATCTCCAAGGGGCGCGGTCAAATGTCCTCTCCATCTGTCAAAAAAGTGTAGCCATGGTACCCAAGGGAAAATCCCCAGCTGTCCACGTATTTTATCGAACAGGCTGTGCGCCCCGTGGAGTGTGAAACGTGACCAGGATGAGTTGCGGTGATGGTCGAGAGCGAGGCGTCCATGACGACCACATACGCATGATGCTCTCGTCCGCCGGACCGCCGCCCCCGCCTACCAGCGCAATAGAACCCGGTAGCAGCCGCACACGCAACAGCCCATGTAGCATGCACGCGGGCGAACCCGTGCATGTATTCTATCGAATAGGTTGTGTGCGCCATCGAGTGTGGCGAGACTTGAGGTAGAAGGTGACCAGGATGAGCTGCAGAGCTTCGGACCAGGGAGCGAGAGAGAGAGACAGTTAGGGGCCGGAGACGAAGGGACCTGAGGCTGGGACTCCGGCGAGCTGGCCGGCCGGCGGGTGGGGTTGCCGAGGAGAGAGAGGAGCAACGCGTGGGTTGGGAAATAGGGTTACTTCCATGTGGGGTCTGCGCGGGTGTCTCCAGACCGAATAGTCGAACAGTATGCGCTCTCCAGTCACAAATTTTTTTCCCATATAAAGAGTCTAATCATGGTACGTGGTGTAAGGGCACCTCCAACCGGCCGACCCAAACTGTCGGCCGATGTAACGGACCAAAGCGCCGGCCCAATGCGCGGACCCAAACTCGCGGTATGTATGGCAAGGACATCTCCAAACACATGCCAAAAAATGCCCACAAACGTCTTGGCAGACGCGTCCGAACCATTTTTTCCATCCAACGCGACGCCACATACTTATGTGGACGCGTTCACGTGCTTGAATTCTGGCAAACTAGTTGTAAAAGCTGGGTGTGGTTTCAGGGAGTCCGGACCTCCCCCACCTAGGACTCCGACAACCCTGTTGCACAGCAAAACTCACCTAGAGCTAGTGTCTTTCTCAATATATCCCTCCCGCCTTGCTCAGTACCTGCTCCCTCCCAGACCAACAATACCGTTATACCACCCCGGCCTCCCGCCCCATACCCTGTCAGACCTCCGCCGCTCGACCCGAGTATCAGTAGCTGAATATTTACACATGTAGCCTCCTCCAATCCGTTCGGTGAAATGTTGTTAAGCATTTTTTTGAGGGTTTCATTGTTTAACTTTAGGGAAAGATGATGGAATTGGATGAGGAGTACTACTACAATGAGTTCATGGAATCAACGCAATTAAAATCTCACAGAC